CGCCCCCCTACACAACACACACTGACAGACAGGAAGACCAAGCACCCTCTTCACTTGCCTTCTCCTATTCGTCTCTGTGCCTTCAGCTGTGTCCCCCCCCACACACACCCGCCCCCGCCCGACCTGGGCTTCCACCCTCTCCAGATCCCTCAGAAATAGACTCCTCTCTAAACCTGATTCCTCACTCAAACTCCCAGGCAACACAAAACCCCTCTAGAACCACGGCGACAACTAACACCTGCCTAGCGTGCCCGCTTGCTCCGCCTGCTGTCTCCGAGCGTGAGCCCTGCAGGGCAGCCTGGCATGCTGTTGGCTTGCCCGCCGCGGGTCTCGGTGATTGCCCTGCAGCGCGCCTCCCCTGTTTTCTGAGCCGAATGAAAGTTAAATAACCCTGAAACACCCAGCCCCAGCTACCGTCGCCATGACTACGGGGGCTCGCAGTCCCTGATGTCTGCAGCGCCAGTGGTTGCCGTGCAGAAAAGCCAGGCACGACAAGGGGACTGAGGCTGACCTAGTTTCTGGATCAGAGTTAACTGTAGCCAAGTTACCAGGGAGTATTTGAGAGGAGTGTCCCTCAAACAGCACATCAGAGGCCCCTGGGTCAAAGCCCAGGCTGGGCCTTCTCTGGATTGTCCAGTTGCTTTTTAACTAAAGAATTGTTATAACTAAGGCTACGATGAGGTCACGGAATCCATGACTTCCATTGTGACGTTTTCTGCCCCAGGGCTAGAACTCCCAGCCCTCGCCCTGGTGGGAGGACCCCTCAGCAGCCCAGCCGTACAGGCCGGGGGACCCCGAGCTCCCCCACATCCAGGGCCGCCCGGGGGGGGCAATTTGCCCCAGGCCCCTCGGCCCCCACAAGAGTTTTTGGTGGATCTTCGGCGGCAGATCCTTCAGTGCTGCCGAACACACCCCGAGAGAGTGAACAACCTGCTGCTGAAGACCTGGAGCTTCTTCCGTTCCGGGTCTCCAGCGGCGAATCCTTCACTTGCTCCAGGACCCGCCCCTGAAGTGCCCCAAAGAGCCGCAGCGGAAGGACCCCCACCGCCGAAGACCCCAGATCCCCTGAATCCTCTGGGCGGCCCTGCCCACACCGCAGCGGAGGGGGACCCGGGAGCCGCAGCAGCAGTGGATACTGAACCCACCTAGCCACCTTATCATGGATATTTTTAGTGACAGTCAGGGACAGGTCACGGGCTTCTGTGAATTTTTGTTTATTGCTCGTGACCTGTCCATGACTTTTACTTTTTTTATTACTAAAAAATATCCGTGACCCAAACTTATCCTTAATTATAACACAGGGCGTGCAACACGCTTGTCATCTCACGTGCTATTATACCCCATGTTACAGCTAGGGAAACTGAGGCACCTGCGGCTAAGGACACTCAGCGCATCAGTGGCCAGCCACCTGTCCAGCATCCCATTCACCAGGCCGCACTGCCAGCCAGACTCTGCCCACCTGCTTCGCGAAGGGCTTGGCCGAGCACTTCTCTGGTGTCAGACTTGTTGAGCCCCTCAGGATGGCCGCTGCCACGAGATTTGGTTAGAGGGGAGCAGCAGGGCTGCTGGGCTCATGATGATTGAGATTGCAGCTGGTACAGGTACCTGATGGGGACCAGTACTCAGTTCCGCCTCCATCTCGTCTCTGGTGATGTCCTAACATTACCTCTGATGTGCCCGGGGAAGGGGGGTCATGGAAGGATCTGTCTGAAATGGTTCCTGGCAGGGGGTTCCCAACCTGGGGTCACCTGGAGGGTTGTGACCACCCTGCCCTTCCCATATTGCTGAATGGGAGCAGGAGCCGGCTGGCTCCCGGGCATGCCCTGGGGGAGGCGGTGTGGTCTGGTGCACTGACTGGGAGTCATTTCCTCTCTCTCTGTGTTTCTCCATCTGCCCTCTAAAGTGCTCTGAGGTCTACAAGAGCTGGGTGGTGGTAGCCTGGAAAAGGCTGGGAACCACCAGTCTGTGGTAGAGGATAGATGGGGACTTGTTAACATGGAGTTCTGCAAGAGTCCTAGACTCTATGGCCAGAGGGGACCATTGTGATGTCCTCTGGCATAGCACAGGCCAGAGAATTGCTCCCATGGATGCCTGCGGCAAGCCTGGTAACTAACCACAGATTGGTTGTTGCTGGAGAATGTGGAGAAATTGGAGAGGGTCCAGAGAAGAGCAACAAGAATGATTAAAGGTCTTGAGAACATACCTATGAAGGAAGGCTGAAAGAATTGAGTTTGTTTAGTTTGGAAAAGAGAAGACTGAGAGGGGACATGATAGCAGTTTTCAGGTATCTAAAAGAGTGTCATAAGGAGGAGGGAGAAAACTTGTTCATCTTAACCTCTAAGGATAGAACAAGAAGCAATGGGTTTAAACTGCAGCAAGGGAGGTTTAGGTTGGACATTAGGAAAAAGTTCCTAACTGTCAGGGTGGTTAAACGCTGGAATAAATTGCCTAGGGAGGTTAAATATCTCCAGAGATGGAGATTCCACAAGAGTAGGTTAGATAAATGTCTATCAGGGATGGTCTAGACAGTATTTGGTCCTGCCATGAGGGCAGGGGACTGGACTCAATGACCTCTCGAGGTCCCTTCCAGTCCTAGAATCTATGGAGCCAGCAGTCGCCAATCCAGGTATTGGACAGACAGCGCTATTTGCTTTGCCCCGTACAAGGACGTACTGCGCCAGCTCAGGGCATCACCTCCCTAAGACCTCGCCACTGGCTTTGGGAAGCCTAGCTGGGATTTTGCTGTCAGTTGCCACCTCTCTGGTGTGAGATCAGACGCTGGCCCAAGACGATGCTTTGCGAGCTGTGGCTGCAGCTCTCCTTGCAAGCTGGGCTGCAGCTGCGTTAGCCAGCAACCGTCTGTAACCTCAGCTCCCTGTGCTAAGGGGGAATGAAGGCGCTGCTGTCTCCGCGAGACCCAGAATGCATGGGCTGGGCTGGGACAGCAGTGCCATCTCCTGGCCAGTGGGTGTAGTGGTGTTGGTATTCAAAGTATCTGAGGGTCATGGGCAAAGGCCAGAATGAGCAGTGGGGAAAGGGTGGGGTGCCCCAGGGCTGGCTCTAGGTTTTTTGCCG